GTCCTCCTTTGAGTTTGGGTTCAATTGGATGAATCTGTCAAGTCAAGGTCAACGTACGTAGCAGCAAGGATGGTGCATCGCCTCTTTCTCGTTCTCGCTCGGGAGCCAAAACGAACACGCCTGCTACCTACTGTACTGGACCTTCGACCAGGCATTCTACCTTTGTCGAATCGGAACCAATACCACTGCATTGCGCTCGAACAGTTGAGCGGCCGCCGGCCCTTCCGTGCACAGATATAGATTCATTCTTCGTACCTGGTCCAGCCTCACAACCCTTCGCGGGTTGGTAAGAAGTCAGTCTTGTTTGGTAAGACGGAATTTTACAAAGAAAAGAGAGTGCTCGCCCCGGCCAACAAAGACCGTAATTACATAGATAACTGCTCCTCCCCTTCTCCGTCTTTAAGGCTTTAAGGCGAACCGTATGGCGGCTGGAAATAAAGACGACCTCACCTTCTCGTAGATGGTGTCAGTGAGAGCCATTTTAGTACCCCCCGTTGACCTTTTTTTGTAGATAGAATCTTCAATGAGTGGAAACAAGCAACCTTACTAAGCTAAGAAAGGTGCTTGTTGAGTAAGGCCGGCTTTCTTCGAATGCTTGAGCGCTTCTTTCTCATATCGATCATTCAATATCCTTGACTTTTCAATAAGGGGCGCGTTAGCTAGGCCGTTTTCTTGCAGGAGTGCTAGCGCGCGCCCTTACGTTTTCTTCGCTTGCTCTGCAGTACGAGCCTCATACAAAGCCGCGCCCCTTTAATATGATGAAGAGGGGCCGCCCTCTTTTCTTTTCCGCACCAATCCTTATTTACTACTACATCTTTTTTGGGGTGTATAGCTCAGTTGGTAGAGCATTGGGCTTTTAACCTAATGGTCGCAGGTTCAAGTCCTGCTATACCCAAACCTAACTTGCACTATACTATGAGTAAGGATGCGTAGTAGCGCAAAGAGCACTCTTTGGCCTTTAGATTAGAGGCGCTTCGCCGTCTTTGATTGGATGGAAACATCTATCTAAAGTGTGCAGTGAAGGAGAAGAGTAAATAGTAGGGGAAAGAAGAAAATGGCACATTGACATTCATCTTCCTCTCGAAGGGCTTTGAGAAGAGGGGCAACAGTGAAGATACCGAGACCGTGTCTATGGGGTCTTAGTAAGAATCTGTTGCAAGCAAATGCATGTAAGGGAGGAATGCCCGCATTAAGATTTAAAACTTGTCGTCTACTTGAAGGAAATGTTTGGAACAGGAAACTTACAATAATACAACGCCGCATTCTTCGAAGATTGAGGAACAAGACGAGATCTATTAAGAGAATGATTTATTCTCGAAAAAATCTGAATAGTTACATCCAATTACAAACTACACGAAAGTTGCCCCTTTTTCATGGAGATTTACCCATCACAGAGATGCATAGAGGAACAGAACGAACTTCATATATCCCTTTTCCACTCAATCCAGAAACAAGATCGGACGTTATTCCGGTTCGTCTCCATTTTAGTGAAACTCTTCCTCAAGCAAGGCAGCCGATAAGTCATCGAAGGCTTTTTGTTAATAATGTAATAGTCAGCATTACTTCTTTTCAAGTTTCCCAAGGTGATTTCATATCTTTTAAAGAAAATGATACTCTAATCTATTCAGAAATAAGGAGATCCTTCTATATCGAAATTTCAGTTTCTAAAATCATAGGAAAATTCCTGGATAGCCCGGTAAGAATGTGGAGAAGAACCAAAACGGAATGGTTCCGCTTACTTAAAACTAAGAGGGGATGCCGCCTACTACTGAAAGACCCGTTTTTGCAACAGTTGCGTTCTTCTATGCAAGACGAAGACTTAGAAAGAACAAAGAAGTTTGGATCCGAAAAAGTATGCTTAGGCAGTTCTTTCGCTGAGCACAAGAGAATAAAGAGGCATTTTTATCATTTCAAATCGATATTCTTATCGAAGAGAAGGAACGAAAAAACCCTAAATCTTACTACTAGAAAAAGAAGTCCTATAGTTTACAACTCTTCTTTCTATAGTAATTTGACCTCTTGCTCCACCCATCAGTCTTCTATGAAGAGAAAAATAAAAAGCTCTTCCCTATCTACTCATTATTCGGAGGTGAATCATAGAACACTAAAAGCTGTGCTATCTTATGGACCTAACATAGGTCACATCCCTCACGTGCGCCAAGAGCACATTCGATAGCATCCTCTTAAGGTTTAAAGATCCAAACCTTCTTCTTCTTAGCGGAAACGCACGTGGCCAAAACATCTAAAGATCGGCATAGTCGCTCATAGGGGCCTATCTATCCGGATAGAGGATAGTCTATATCTTGATTCACTATTTCCATTTTTCTTTTTATATTTTTTTTTTTTTTTTCTCTGTCTCGTACGAAGCAATGGGAGGCAAGCTATGACGGCAGGATGTGACCTTGCCTTTCGCCCTGCTACCGCCGTTCTAAGTTCTTCTGACTAAACGAAGTTAAGACTAAAGTTTCGGAACTTAAGTTTGCAACTTTTTTCAGCAAAGCTTAGTAAAAATCCCTCCTTCGGCTACCTTGGATCAAGGGTAGAGATAGGAAGTAAGTCAAAGGTAGATCAACAAAAGTCTTAGTATGGGAAGAGTCAGAGCGAGGGGAGAGACTTTCTAAACGAAGGTTAGTCTAAGTAAGGAAATGGGCACTCTGCTCACATCGAAGTAACTGCTGTCTCCCTTATGGTCGACGTTCTCTCCTCCCATCCTCTCCTCTCCCTACCGGTCGCCGAATATAACTCTTCTTTGCCGTTCTGGTTGGCTTAGGGCGGTCGAACTCTCCCCTCCTCTCCTTAACAGTCGAGTGATTTCTCATTCTCTCTCCCTCTTTCTATAGATAAGCGGGTTCTTCGATCATTCTAATGAAATAGGTTCGTTAAAGCCAATTGCTCGAATTCTGTTTTAGATTCCTATTCCACTCCAACCGGTGCAGAACTCTTAACCTTTCTAGGACCCTCTCTACGGCAAGGTGCTGCTCTACTCTTTCCACTTGCTCCCTCGTGTATAGCGGTTGAGTTCTTCGCCTCACGGTTTGGCTACCCATCGTCATTCCCTCTCTGTCTAAAGTGAGAGGGGTTCTCTGCGCGCAGTGTAAGATTCCCCTGGATGGGTCTCGTAGGCAGCAGCATTCGTGCTTGCCTTTGCCGTGATTGTCCGTTGTTCCCTTGGTGCGCTGTCATTGACGGTGTAAATCTGTTCGTTCGAGAAAACATGTTGATCTCTTTCCATATCCTATACCCGGTTGTTGCCCTATCAAGATGTGTCCCTTCCTTTGACCCCTTTTCCGATTTCTTAGTGCTGTCCCCCTTGCGTTCCCTCCCTTTGTGAAGAATTCCATTTCCCTTTTTCTCCACTCTTATTTCTTCCTTTCTTATTCTCCTGTTGGAAGTACCTAATCTGCTTTTTGAAATCTTTCCTTTCTTATAATTATAAGGTCCTTCCCCTGTATAGAAGTCTGTGCGATTTTTCCCCTTATCTTCTGGCCGACGCTCCCCTTACCGGTATCAGTGCAAGGGCAATTAGTACGGGTTGCCATAGTAGTCTGGATGGATTGGAACGAAGGGATGAAGGAGGGCCGGCCTGCCCAACAAGTAGACCGGAATAACTAGCTTCTAGTCCAACTAGCTAGAGCTCCAGCCCAAGCCTCCAAATCGAAGCTTCGGAGAGCCTTCTCCCATGCGATGAGATGAATTCTGTCTCTCCCTCCAACACCAGACCGTGGACATTTCGTCCGAATTCCTTCAATCCTACCAGCCATTCCTTTCGGGACCCCGGACAAGGAGGGAATAAAGGCAAGCTTTGAAGAGTGGATTTCATTAAAAACAAGGCCTTACCAGCTTGACCTAAGAGGGCGGGCACCTTTCCAACCCGAAAGCTTCTTGCTGAATTTCTCTGTAACTGAATTCTAAAGTTCATCTCTTCATCTTCCCAGCATACCAAAATGAACCGAAATGGAATTGGCTATTGAACAGCCAAACATATTCCGGCCGGCCCTCGTAGTGTGGATGGAGGATGAAGGAAGAACACCTTACTTCTTTCAAAAGACGGAAACAGAGTAATTTTTTCCCACTAGCCTAACTAATGATTTTACCTCACTTTGTTGTATTGTATAGACAAGCCTGACTTTATAGATAGGAATTCAGAAAAGAGTTCTAACTTACCTTCCTGACTGTGCTTCCTGCTTTTGGACCTATTTTCTATTCTAGTGGTAAGACTGTAGTCTACTGCAACAGGAGAAAGGAAAGCAGGCCATCATGATAAGACCCTCTTTACGCTCTCTCTTTCTGCTCGCTCCTGTCAACGAATGAATTTACTACTTGTGTCACTGACATTCCATTAGCATGGTGGACTATAGACCGGCTTTCACGTTCACTCTATAGGAAGGGGACTTAGATTAATCGATTCAATGGGCGAACTGCTTTCCTTTAAAGGTAGCAAGTGATTGAAATGACAAGCTTGTAACTGATATGAAATCGGAAGACAGTAAGTTGGACGAGGAGCTCATGTACCACAGAGTGGGCAAATGCTCCCCTCTTTCAAGAGACTGTTTATGTTCTTGTTTCTTTAGTCTCTTTACCTGCGAGCATGAATTCCTGAACCCAATACTAGGAAAGAGCTTCATACCCTATAGAACTGACAGATCGGCTAGCGAAGATGGCTCAGTCTCAGTAGATCCCTCACTCCTCACCGGCTTACGGAAAGAGAGCCCTAAGGGAGAGAGTTCCGGTACTTCAGGCATATCTATCAATGGGCAAAGACAGGAGAGCCTTCTATCTCTTCCAGTCTTATAAAGGAAAGAAAGCAGGATGAACAGGCTTGAGTGTCGATAGGTGACTTTAAGGTAGGCGCCTATCTCTTATTATACTATAGCAACGGGAGAAGTCGGGATTGGTGCCCGGAAATCTATAAAAAATTAGCATTTTGCCCAGATAGAACTTTTTCAATTCATGATCTGCTCTACGAAGGGAAAAGTGAAAGTCTCATTTGACAGCTATATAAGATAGACACTTTCTAATTTCCATGTCTGTCTATAAGGGAAATAGGTCAAGTGTCATTTTGCAGCTATATGAGCATGAACATCTACTTTAGAATTTGAATAGTCCTCTTAGCCGGTCGATTGGCTTGAATCTCTCTTTCTTTTGAATCGTAACCTACTATTAGTGTATGCCTAAAACTGAACTAATTACTTTTCTCTAACCAACTTATGACCAAACAAAAAATGACTTAACTAATGGCCAGATTTCCCTCTCCTCATTAAAAACTACTTCTATCTAGCTCCTCTCTTCACCATCTTTTGGTCAAAAAGAGTAAGAGTATTAAATCCCAAAAGTCCTAGGAGTTAAGCATGTTGGTGATGAACTAGTTCTCGTTCACCCCGGGTGGAATGAGTCAAGCTAGTTCCGAAATCGCCAGAGCCCTCTTGTTCTAATCTTTTTCTTAGCAACTGGCTTTCAGAAGTCTTGCTGCGAGGAAGATTAGAAACGCCTTACTATATTGAATTGAGAATAGTGGCATTTTTTCTGCAGATATGGAGTTTGTTGAGAGGACTTGCATCCTTCGTTCGTAGTGGTCATTTATAGCTGTTTTTCCAACTGAACCTAATTTACTATTTTGCGACAAGAGGGGGCTCTTACTTCTTTCATCTCTAGGTTGAGTACTAGCAAGTCAGGGAGAAGAGAAAAGCCTGGGAAGGAATCGGGTTTTCAGCATCTGTAGTGGAAGAGTGTACTGGTGGTGGTTTAGTTAGAGACAACAACGGGAAGGGGGCTCTCTCTTCTTTCAGCTGATTCTCCTTTTACTAGGCTTGGATAGATGGGGGTGTCGGTGTAAAGATCGCATGGAACAGTAAATGGCAATGGAATCAAACCTCCTCCTATAGGTAAGTTCAGTCTGTAACTGAGGCTTTCTAGGCGTAGGGCTAATAGCACAATGGCGGTGCGGCTAGGCTTTGTGGGTTCGAATGCCGGTTTGAGATAACCAGCCAGGCAAGGGAAAGAAGGAAGTCTTCCTGCGGAGGGGGAAGAAGCGGCCCAGTTTAATAGATTCAATGGTCGACTTGCTTGAATCGAAGAGGAAGAGCCCACTTTCATATTGAATTCAGGCTTTCATTAGCTCCTTCAGGATGGGATTGACGTATGGAACCACTGACAGTGAACCGTTCGTCTACCTCAGGTCTTACACTGAATGACCTCTCTCATCTAATCGATCGGTGAAGGATGTCTTTGAAGATCATCTGGTCTGGCTCGTTACCATTAGTTCCTCTCTCTATAGTCGAGCTAGTAAAACGAGATATCCTATTGAAGTGAACGTTCACAAAGATCGGGAAGTAGTAGCCGTAAATCTATCCACTCGTGTAGTTTTAGGCCGCAGATGTCTACTTTTCTTTAATATGGAATTCAAATCAGATCCTAGAGTTTAACCACTGGGGGAGAGTGGGTGAGCTTGCTTTCGAAAGTTTACAGTTTCCCGGCTAAAAATCACCTGCTTGTTTACAGACTGAACTGATCTATAAAAAAAAAGACAGAAGCGAGGAAAGGCCCCTTCGCTGCTCTCTCTGTTTTTTCCCGGGATTTGAACCCACGTCCGACTACCTGTTGAACTATACAAGAGGCCGCTCTACCGCTGAGCTACCGAGGTGGGGCTTAAGACGGGAAATCTAAATCGGCACACACGTTTTTTCATTCATTAGCTGTAACCAGCTGAGCTACCTGGACCTCTTTCCTAAAATATGCTTTTTGCTTACGCTTCTTCGTCAAGCTTTCGAGCAGAATATCCATACCTTTCTTTTAGTAGTGAATGAGATGCTTGACAATAACGCTAAATCCAGACATTTAAGGTGTAACACAATGCCTTAAGTGTGGGAGGGCAGCCTATCCGTATCCCTTCGCATGGTCGTTCTATCACGAAGTTGGCAGCGGGAGTGGGACGAGAGCTCGGCTGCGAGTATCTCCCTTTCAGTGACCTGGGACAGGAGACGATTTTATGAGTTTGCCTTGTTGGCATGCTCAGTGGTCATAGCGCCTTTGATTGAAATTCCATTTGCACCCGTCTCCTTCGGGGATCCATTAAAGGGATTGGAGTGGAATTTCCATTCCACCTATCCGCACCCTATCTCGCTGAAATTTAGATATGTGAGCCCGGAAACACATTTTAAAATACGCCTGTCAGCGCAG